TCTAAATTTTAAAATAGTACTAATTTAGTTATAACAAAAATAATACTTTTTAGACTAGACTATAGACTAGACTATAGACTAGACTATAGACTAGACTATAGACTAGACTATAGACTAGACTATAGACTAGACTATAGACTAGACTATAGACTAGACTATAGACTAGACTATAGACTAGACTATAGACTACTATAGACTAGACTATAGACTAGACTAGACTATAGACTAGACTAGACTAGACTAGACTAGGACTAGACTATAGACTAGACATAGACTACTAGACTAGACTATAGACTAGACTATAGACTAGACTATAGACTAGACTATAGACTAGACTATAGACTAGACTATAGACTAGACTATAGACTAGACTATAGACTAGACTATAGACTAGACTATAGACTAGACTATAGACTAGACTATAGACTAGACTATAGACTAGACTATAGACTAGACTATAGACTAGACTATAGACTAGACTATAGACTAGACTATAGACTAGACTATAGACTAGACTATAGACTAGACTAGACTATAGACTAGACTATAGACTAGACTATAGACTAGACTATAGACTAGACTATAGACTAGACTATAGACTAGACTATAGACTAGACTATAGACTAGACTAGCAGCGTGGACTTAATTATTTCTTAAAAAATGTTGCATAAAGTTTTAAGTAACATCCCTTTAACCAGCAGTAAATTTATTCGGCAAATGACTGTAGTATCAGTAGCTGTAAATTTCTATAGTTTATTGTTTGTAGTTGTAGTAGTGTTTTTTTCTTTTTTAATATGTAAATTAGAAATTTGTGTTTTACAACAAATAACAGACCAAACAATGGGAGTTCCTTTAATAAAAGATTTGCTGTTTCTAATTTCGTTTAACAATCCCACTACCAATTACATTTACTTTCAAACACAGTCAAATATTCTCACATACAAACCTTGTAAGTCTGTAGTTTTAGTATGTATTCAAATTATTTAGATTTTACAACTTTCATTATAATATTGTTATTTGTTGTTTTTAATTAAATATCCTACGATGTCCTTTTACGGTTTTGCACATTTAAGGTTAACATTTTCTAACATTTAATCTGAATGGCTGGATGTTGTAGTAATTAAAATGTAAAAAGTATTTTGTTGTAAATAAACTATTGCGGATATTTGTTTTTGTATACATTGTATTTATTCTGACAATTATTTATATTGCATTAAATGATTATTTTAATGAAATAAAATTAAGGATAAAGGAAATTTTAGTAGACAAAGTGAATGTTGAATTATGGGAAAGAAGGGGGATAAGAAAAAAAGTTAATTAGATTTTGACTTTTGAAGGAATTTGAGTATTTGGCAAATTTAATACTTGGATGCTTGTAATACATATTTAGTTTGATACAAAAACTAGAAAATGTTTCTAAAGTTAGTTATTTATCGAATATAATGGATTGTTTTTTAATATTATAATTATCAAATATATTTTAAATTAATTATCGATTTTCTTTAAAATTAATTTTTTTCTTAATTAGTCCTTAATATAAAATTTTTCAATAATTCTTTTAAAATAACCAAATTATCGGAATTTTGCATTAAATATCGAATTTATCAAAATTTATTATCAAAAATCAAAATATCGAAAATTTTCTTCAGAAATGAAACCAGTCAATAGACTAGACTATAGACAAGACTAGAGGACTAGACTATAACAAGACTATAGACTAGACTAGACAGACTAGACTATAGACTATAGACTAGACTATAGACTAGACTATAGACTAGACTATAGACTAGACTATAGACTAGACTATAGACTAGACTATAGACTAGACTATAGACTAGACTATAGACTAGACTATAGACTAGACTATAGACTAGACTATAGACTAGACTATAGACTAGACTATAGACTAGACTATAGACTAGACTATAGACTAGACTATAGACTAGACTATAGACTAGACTATAGACTAGACTATAGACTAGACTATAGACTAGACTATAGACTAGACTATAGACTAGACTATAGACTAGACTATAGACTAGACTATAGACTAGACTATAGACTAGACTATAGACTAGACTATAGACTAGACTATAGACTAGACTATAGACTAGACTATAGACTAGACTATAGACTAGACTGTAGACTAGACTATAGACTAGACTATAGACTAGACTATAGACTAGACTATAGACTAGACTATAGACTAGACTATAGACTAGACTATAGACTAGACTATAGACTAGACTATAGACTAGACTATAGACTAGACTATAGACTAGACTATAGACTAGACTATAGACTAGACTATAGACTAGACTATAGACTAGACTATAGACTAGACTATAGACTAGACTATAGACTAGACTATAGACTAGACTATAGACTAGACTATAGACTAGACTATAGACTAGACTTTAGACTAGACTATAGACTAGACTATAGACTAGACTATAGACTAGACTATAGACTAGACTATAGACTAGACTATAGACTAGACTATAGACTAGACTATAGACTAGACTATAGACTAGACTATAGACTAGACTATAGACTAGACTATAGACTAGACTATAGACTAGACTATAGACTAGACTATAGACTAGACTATAGACTAGACTATAGACTAGACTATAGACTAGACTATAGACTAGACTATAGACTAGACTATAGACTAGACTAGACTATAGACTATAGACTAGACTATAGACTAGACTAGACTATAGACTATAGACTAGACTAGACTATAGAGACTAGACTATAGACTAGACTGTAGACTATAGACTATAGACTAGACTATAGACTAGACTATAGACTAGACTATAGACTAGACTATAGACTAGACTATAGACTAGACTAGACTAGACTAGACTAGACTAGACTAGACTAGACTAGACAAGACAAGACTAGACAAGACTAGACTAGACTAGACTATAGACTAGACTATAGACTAGACTATAGACTAGACTATAGACTAGACTATAGACTAGACTATAGACTAGACTATAGACTAGACTAAAGACTAGACTATAGACTAGACTATAGACTAGACTATAGACTAGACTATAGACTAGACTATAGACTAGACTATAGACTAGACTATAGACTAGACTATAGACTAGACTATAGACTAGACTATAGACTAGACTATAGACTAGACTATAGACTAGACTATAGACTAGACTATAGACTAGACTATAGACTAGACTATAGACTAGACTATAGACTAGACTATAGACTAGACTATAGACTAGACTATAGACTAGACTATAGACTAGACTATAGACTAGACTATAGACTAGACTATAGACTAGACTATAGACTAGACTATAGACTAGACTATAGACTAGACTATAGACTAGACTATAGACTAGACTATAGACTAGACTATAGACTAGACTATAGACTAGACTATAGACTAGACTATAGACTAGACTATAGACTAGACTATAGACTAGACTATAGACTAGACTATAGACTAGACTATAGACTAGACTATAGACTAGACTTTAGACTAGACTTTAGACTAGACTATAGACTAGACTATAGACTAGACTATAGACTAGACTATAGACTAGACTATAGACTAGACTATAGACTAGACTATAGACTAGACTATAGACTAGACTATAGTCTAGACTATAGACTAGACTATAGACTAGACTATAGACTAGACTATAGACTAGACTATAGACTAGACTATAGACTAGACTATAGACTAGACTATAGACTAGACTATAGACTAGACTATAGACTAGACTATAGACTAGACTATAGACTAGACTATAGACTAGACTATAGACTAGACTATAGACTAGACTATAGACTAGACTATAGACTAGACTATAGACTAGACTATAGACTAGACTATAGACTAGACTATAGACTAGACTATAGACTAGACTATAGACTAGACTATAGACTAGACTATAGACTAGACTATAGACTAGACTATAGACTAGACTATAGACTAGACTAGAGACTAGACTATAGACTAGACTATAGACTAGACTATAGACTAGACTATAGACTAGACTATAGACTAGACTATAGACTAGACTATAGACTAGACTATAGACTAGTCTATAGACTAGACTATGGACTAGACTATACCGTGTTAAAATAATGACTTAAAATGCTATTGTATAAGAAAATTTTTATCATATTAACGTCTTACGTTTCATATAAGTTTATGCTGGGATATTCCTTAAAGTTTTATAACTTAAATTAAAGTATCATGTCTCAGTATTTACAAAAATTACTATATAAAAAAAAGAAAAACCGGCAATTTTTAACTACATTAGACATTTCCTAACAGTTAAAAAGTATTAAATTACACAATGTATAAAATTAAACGTTGTAAATACTTTTTAAGAACAAAAAAAAAAAGAAGCGGAATAACATGAATGTATAAAAAATGTACTTGAACAAATTGCACTCGTCATTTACTCTTATAGAAATGTAGACATCTGCACGAAAACATTAATTATTTAAAAGTGCATATTAACCCATATTTGAAAAAGAAAATATTCAGACAAACACGCGACTATTTAATAGTTCTACTCCAAACATTTCTATTTTCAAAATCAACACATGTCTTCTATAAAAAGCAGGAAGTTATTGATCCCAACATAGGTTTTTATTGTGATTTTGGTCAGTGTAAGACAGAAGCCTACTAAATAAACAATAGACAAGTGTTAATATTTACACAACCGGTAATAATTGTCCCACAAGTGCCCCACAAACAACATCTGTTACAAATTAAAACTTTACAAAGTAAGAAACCTGTGTAGTTAAAAACATTTTATGAGGAATTAAGAATTAAAAAAAAACTCACAACCTTAAGACAATAGATAAATATTTGTAAAAAGTTGTGTGTTGAAAATATTTGAGGAAGTGTGTCTGAAGAAAGAACAGATTAAAATGTAGACTTTTCTCACTACAACTTTTATGTGGAATATTTGATAAAAATTTTAATAGATAATTTTCTTTAAACTTACCAATATACGACCAGTTGTGGTTTGTCCTGATATAAGCTCACCAGCCCAATCTTTTGCTTCTGTCATAAAAGTTCCTTCGAACTCTTGTTTGTTTCGTGATGCTTTCTGCTCTTTTTGTTTGGGATCGTTTGGTCCCAAATCGGGCTCTTTGCGACAGCATATAAATGCGAATGCCCTCCAACATATAACGATGAATAATCCAGTGAGAAATGTGAAAATGCTGGAGAGCAGAAAGCAATAATATTTTCGAACCTTAAGACAATCATCGACCTCAAATGGTGAACCTGTTGGATCTTCAGCCAATGATTCGACAGTGCTTTGATCACACCCCGACATCCCCTGGAAAAAGGAAAAATAAAAAAAGTTTTATTAATAATTTTGTTTAAAAAAATAGAATTGATTGATTTTATGATTGATATATAGCTTAATGAGTGGATAGCAAGTTATATAACATATATTTAGCATTAAAGATTTATGAAATACAATTTCAAGTTTTAGCATTACAAATTTGAAAGAAACTGAATTGTCTGATTAACTTTGATCGTAATTTGTATACCCTTCACCTTCGTGAGAAGAGTATATATAGGTTTGTCATTCCGTTGGTAATTTATATAATATAATTTTCCAATCCTATAAAGTATATATGTATATTCCCAGACCTTATAGTTAGGGGATTCGATCAAGGCTTTTCCGTCTGTCCGTGTATATGTTGAAATCAGTTTTCAGAATCTTCAATAATTCCTTCAGGCATACTTTCGAGAAGATCCCTGTATAAAATCAGCAAAATCGATCCATAAATAATGAAAATATGAGCAAAAATCCCAGATATAGTATTTTTTTGCATGCTTTTAGCAAGAACAGCGCGTTACGTATGACCAAAATCAGAGATCGTAAATTGTGTATGGTAATTAAGCAGTGATGGGAAAAACACCAAGTACTATTTTTTGGAACTTTTTCTTTAATTGGTACTTTTTGAGTTTTCTATAATATTAAACCAAAAAACTTAACATTAAGCATGTAAAGCCCGAAGTAAATGTGAACATATGAAAAAGGACTTTTTGATACTTTTTTTGATTCTTTCAAAGGTACTTTTTCGTTCTTCAACTAGTACGTTTTGATTATTTTATAATATTTAACCTAGAAATGCAAAATTAAACACGCAGCATATTGATTGAGTGAAAATTTATAAAAAGGGAGTGTTTAGTACTTTTTCAATCAAATCAGACATACATATGTTTAGAATCATAATGGAATGGTAATCTATAGGAGTAAATTTTTTCTTCAATTGAACCTAGAAACGAAAAATTTAATATGCGGCATATGGATTGAGTAAAAAATTATAAAAGGGGAGTTTCTGGTACTTGTTCGTCAATCAAATGCTACTATTTTAATTTTCAGAATTATTAATCCTGGAAACATTAAATCATACGTATGTGTAGGCTCGTGATCGAATGAACATGTGTAAGACTTAACTTTTTGGTACTTTTGCAGACCTTAACTGGTACTTTTTATCGAAATTTCTCTAAAAAGATAGAATTTTATTGAAAATTTTATATAAATACCCAGCAAAAACTTACATTGAAGAGTAATAAGTTAAAAAGCTAAAAAGCGGCTTTTCACTACATCTTCTTTAGCATTTTAACTCATTGTTTTAACACGGTGATGACATTGGAGGCAAGTACTTAACACGCTTGTTAACTAATAACTACTTATGTAAGTAATTACAAGTAAGGAGTTAAAAAGTTGTTTTGTTTTAAAAACCAAAAAATTGCTCTCACAAAATACGAACCTGGAATTCTTGTTCGTCAGTTCGCTGTCACACTCACAACACCACTCCTTAGTTGTTTTATTGCGAGTCCAATAATGCTTTTCTCACAGAAAAACTATTTTCTTTCTGTGTGTGCGTAAAAAACAGTTGCTAGCGCACCATTCAATAAAATGTGCATATACAATAGCGAAATTCAAAATAAAGTACTTACTTATCTAATTATATGTAAGTCATTATAAGAGTGCTTAAAAGTAATGTAGACATTAAGTAGTAGTCATTGAAAAGTAAGTGGTAATGTAAGTACAAGCCATTACAGAGTTTTTACTGGATATCTATTAAAATATTTAAATTATACAGTTTTATTAAAGTTTCCGATTTTCATTTTTCTTGATCAATGAACATTTTTCGTAATTTTCCTTGTGGCTTTTAATGACTCCTTCATTAAAGAATTCTGGAACTGCTGCTACTCACAAATCATCCACATCTATTTTAATTTTGTACAATATTAACAACCTCTTGAATATGTTTAAGCTGATCATTACTAATTTAATAATAAGAAATGATATCACCAAATGTTTGAATTAGATTAAGACTTAAAAAATTTTTTACTTTTTGTATGCGTCAAACTAATTTATAAATTCAAATAATTGAACTCATATAATTTGGATGATTTGCATAATTTTTTATAAAAATAATTTAATTTAAAAATGTTTTGGGTGGCTCCAACAGATTAGCTCAATTTAGAATTTTATTCAAGCAAAACTGTAGAATTTCGTATGGGAGCTATTTGCCGACTTTGTGACATGAAAAAAACAACAACAATTTTGCCAGTTTCTTTCTTCAATGAAGTCAAAAAACCAGTCTCGTTTGTTAATTTCCAACATTCTATAACAAAATTTGAAAAAAAGTCGAAACCCTGAGGCCAAGTTAGACGTTTCTAAAGGATTGAAACCGAATGTGACCTCAGATTTTCTCCATCTCATCTGGGATTTGAAATCGTCTCCTGTAATTTGAGAAAACGCCATTTTTGACCTTTTTAAGTAGTTAAATAGCGCCAAGACAACCTACTCCATTTGTAAAATGTTGTATGTCATCTGAATGTCCATTCTATTAACTTTAAATTATAGGCTTACTATCTGGCATATCTTCTTTCTTCTTCGAGATATCTTAATCTATAGCTTGAAAAACTATGGTTTTTGATATATTCATGGTTTTGTTTATAACCTGAACTACTATAGTGCTGAGGGTATTATACTTTGTAAATATTGTTTATAATAGTATACGCACTATTGGGACGAACGACGAATTTTTCGTAACGAATATTCGTCGTCAGAAATAGAACACACTTGGGTATACGAAAATGTACACAATCACTGCGTATGACGAAATTCGTCGTATGTAACGAACTATGCGATAGGTTTCGCATAGTATATACATAGTATATATATACAATATTATGTTTGAATATTCGAAATTATGTTCGAAAATTCGAAGTTATGTTCAAAAAACTTTGTATGCTCTTAAAAAAATCTCTGGGTCATAAAAACTAAAAATAAAATTTTTGAAAATTCCAACTTAAGTTCGAAAAAATTTTAAAGCCATTAAAAGCAGTTCTCGTGGCCCGAATTGTATGAAATTTGGCAGTCTGGAGTACACTTGATGACACTACAATATTATTGGAATATTTAAAATTAAGTTCGAAAATTCGAAGTAATGTTCGAAAAAAATTTTTTTTTAAATAAACTCAAAATTGGGGATATTCACAAAAATATAATTTTAGTTCTTTTCGAGGCCAATTTCTTACATTTTCTAATTTTGAAATAATATTCGAATAAATTTTAAAGCTGTTAAAATTATTTTAAAATCGTGGAGATTCACAAAAATATAATTTTTGTTCCTTTTTCTTGCTTTTTCCCATTTCGAACAAACAAATTTTGATACGAATTCGCAGTACGAATAATTTGATTGTGTTCCATTCGACGAATTTACGCAACGAATTTTTGTCGACTAGTTCGTCGTGCTATACGAAATTCGTCGTTCGTCCCAATTGTGCGTATACCATAATGAACAAAAATATAGGAGCCACACGTATCTAACGATGTTCCAATCGACTCAAAATCATCTGATTCGACTTAACGAAGTCAGTCCGTCCGTCAACTTCTACGGATATCTCAAAGTAATCAAACTACAGGTCGCAGTTTTGAAGATAATTTAATTTGGCGCAAGATCTTCTATTGTCTCTGGGATGAAGCCTATTGCAAATGGTTATGATGGGTCCACTATTTCACCTTGCCCCCATACAACTGAACCCCCGAAAAGGACTTGTAAACCTTGTAATCAAAGTACAGGTCGCAATTTTGAAGATAATTCAACGAAATTTTGCTATAACTATAACTGGTGCAAGGTATTATATGGTCGGCCTCGCACGACTATAATTTCTTACTTCTTTGTTTTTGTACTCGAACATTTTTAATTGTTAATAAAAGATTTTACTATTGATTTAGAATTGCAATATAAAAAATAATTTAAATAATTAACAAGAAAATGTGTTTTAAAATGATCAACAAATATAGATCATACCATAAATATCACTTAAGGCGTTTTATTAACGAATAACAATTAAAACTTTTATTAGTTTTTATTAAAAAATAAACAAGATATTTTCATAAACAAAGAGATACAATTTTAAAAAACAATAAATTTTCATTTAAAATGATAGATGAAAATTAAATGCATAAATAATTAAAAAAAAAAAAATATATAAAATTAAAACTTACTTGAACCGTTTGATGGTCAAGGTCTGTCAAGTTCGCCATTTCTCATGTAAAAATGTATCAAATAAATAATATTGACACTACAACAACTACAACATACAAATACTAGCAAAATTTTTAGCGTTTAATTTTTATTATTATTTCGATGTTTTTGATTTTTTTTAGCATTTTTTCGTTGTCGTTGGTTGCATTTAGAAATATTTTTCTATTTACATATTTATTTAAAAATATTCAATAAAATAATGACGTTGATCATGTTGTTAATGAAGAGTATTTGCTAAATCTTATGCTTTTGCTAATTAAAAAGACATTTCGACATTTTATTTTAATTTTAAAATGTCAAATTTTAAAATAAAAACTTTTCTTTAAAATTTATAAATACTTTTAAATATTTTATAATATTTTGTAATTTTGTTTTGATCACTGTGAGGAAGAACTTTTATTATTTATACACTTTTTTCAATTTGTAAACACTATGGGACAAAATATTTTTTGTTACGTTGTCAAAGCATACTTTTAGATTTGTATTTTTTGTCTTCTTTTCGTTTTACTGCTTGTTTTTTTAACAAAAAAAAAAATTTATTATAAAAATAGCTACAAACAAAATTATATGTGTGATATTTTTAAAGGGAAGAGCATTACGTTAACAAAGAAAAGAGCCAGTGAGAGTAGGAAAATTAAAGAAAGGAAAAGATCACGGCGAATAGACTTTTATGTTGCGAGCAATATTTTTGAAAACAACGCGGAATCTAAGGCGACACTAGCTAATGACGTCGTCATTAACCAACCAAATGACA